CTACTGAAGCCACACAGGCATCGGGACCGAGAGTTCTAGCTGAGGGTTCGCGGATTGGGTCACTCAGCGCGCGTACATTCTCGCAGGTCAAGGTCCGGTTCTACTGCTGCGGATGCCCGTTGAAGCACACCGTCCACTTCAACGGGGAAGCGCTCGGCCTGTACGCGTGGAGCAGGGCCATCATCGTCACGCAAGAGTCTTGCCAGCTTCTGCTTCGTTCCGTTCAAGGGACCGCATCAGCCTTCAGCGCCCTAATCAGCGCACATAAGGAGGTCCGAGGGCGCTTCTCGCCGGGGGCCCCTCCCCTCCTCAGCGAGGAGTCGTGGCGGAAGGTCTGCTTGGCCTTCTTCCGGCTGTGTGGGCGGAGCATCCTCGAGTGCTGTAGCCTGTGCGGGCCACATCCAGACGTCCTGCTCTGCGATGGTATCGCTGGGCTAGCGTGCGCGGACGGTAGCAAATCGAAAGGCGGGTTGGCGGGGACGGCAGCAAGCGAACTCCGGCCTTTCACAGCTCCGAGCCGGAATAGTTCGGGGGAGACCGTCGTGAAGCACATGGAAGCGGGTCTCAACTTCAGTGCGACTGCGCTGGAGGGGCGGGGGCTCAAGAGGCGCCTGATCCACCAGCCGGAGCTGCGGGCTCTGCTGGCGCGGTACAGCCAGCATCATCCGAAGGACCCGGACCTGGGCGCGCAGCTGAGCGAGAGCGAATTCCAGGAGCTGCTGGTAGGTGGAACAAATCTTGTTACCAGAAACATCTTTGTAAGGTTCCCACCCAATGGCACCATGGCACTGCCACCTCTCGTTTTCTATTCGTTCAGGTTTTGTTGCTTGAAAGTTCCATGATTGAAAAAGAGGTGCCAAGGTGTCCGAGGTGCCAGGCCATAGTAAAGTGTGTACAAATCCTATATATACTTACTTTATAAGTAATAAAGAAAGGTGCCAGAAGGTGGCTCCAGACTTTTCTTTCCCCCCACGCTGAACGGACAAGATCCTCGCTCAAACTGCTAGAGTTCTGGCAAATGTGCACGGCATAACTTCCTCCAAGCAGAGTTATTCACCCTAAACTCAAACTGCAAAGCTTTTCAGTCTTTGTGGCAACCATAGAGTTGAATCTGACGTCGACTTTGGAGCGATTGAGCGCAAGTTGCGCACGCTGTTCGATGCCAGTCTGCTCCGTATCAGAGTTCTGTCCTTGACCTGAAGTGCCTTTTAATCCGTCTACGTTTTCCGAAATGATATGCGTATAAAGAGTCGGGAGAAATTAGACGGCTTTTGCGAGTTTCTAGGCACGTGTCAGCAGCCCCACTTGCAACTCTCTGTCGGTTTCTGTAGGGAGCGCAACAAGGTCTTCGAGTGAGACTTTTGAATCGGTCTAGGTTTTCGGAATGATATGCGTATACAGAGTTGGGTTTTAGGGCGAGGGCGTTTGACTTTGCGACTTCTACCCAGGCTACGCTTGGTCGCGATGACGTGGAGCTCGTCTCCGAATTTGTCCCCGACCCCGACGATGCGGATGCCGAGCCCGTCCTGCTCCACTGGAGGAGGCGCCTTCTGCAAGAGCAGATCGGGCAGATCCGATCGAAGAACCGAGCTGCACGGCTCCTGTTGGAGGGCATCCGGAGGGAGACGGGCCTTGCTGCGCCGGGCGCCAACCCCGGTCGAGTGCGTTCGCCGCGGAAGTGGTGGGCGGAACTGCTGTACGCTCTGGGGTCCCCTCAAACCGTCAGCGACGACAGCAACCTGATCCAGCACGGGGCTGCACTGGCTGTGGTTCGGTTGATTCTTCTGGGGGGTTCAGCAGACGAGGGGGAGAAGGCCGTGCTGGCAGAGCATGCGCCTATCCTTCGTCGGTTGCTGGACAACTACCACGGGGTGTTTCCGGCCTACTTTCTTCCCAGTCTCCATCATTTGTACCGGTTGACCGTTTTCGGGCGCGGGGCGGTCGGGCTGGGGGTCGGTCGAGCCGGTTGGGCGCTGTCTGCTGTCCAGGGGTTGGATGCCTGCGTTTGGCTGCTGCAGTTGAGACGGATCGATCCAGGGTCTTGGAACGAGGAGCGAGAGGAGAGCTACACCTTCTAGCGAGGGAGAGCAAACCGGCTGCTCCCCGGTGTTGAGGCTCTCCGCCCCCCAAGCCCCCAGGAGTATGCCCTTAACCAAGCCGAGCGCGAGCTGCTGCACGATCGGCTAGGGCTCTCCCGGGACGGACGGCT